TGTTGTTTTATTTTTCAAGACAGGATTTCCCTGTGTAGCCCCGGCTGTCCTGGATCTCACTCTGTGGACCAGGCTGGCCTCAAACTCACAGAGAATTGCCTGCCTCTGCCTCCCGAGCCCTGGGATTAGAAGTGTGTGCCACCACCACCAGGCAGATTTGTTTTATGTGTACGGGCGGTTATCTGCATGTCAGTCTGCGCACATGCGTGTGCAGAGATGAGAAGAGGGTGTCCAAGCCATCGAATCTCCTGAGATTGCAGCTATAGGCTGTGAGCCACCACATGAGCACTGGTGATCAAATTCAGGTCCTCTAAAAGAACAGCCAGAGCTTTTAACTCCTGAGCCATCTATCTATCTCTCTCCAGCTTATTATTTGAGATAGCTGAACCTAGAATCAAAATGTTCTGCTTTGCTGGGCGTGGTGGCACACACCTGTAATCCCAGCACTTGGGAGGCAGAGGCGGATCTCTGTGTGTTCAAGGCCAGCCTGGTCTACGGAGTGGGTTCCAGGACAGCCATGGCTATTACACAGAGAAACCCTGTCTCAAAAAGCCAAAACAAACAAACAAACAAGAAAAGATTCTGCTTTGCATCCCTTGGGAACACTGCTCCAGCCAGGGCTGCTGGTGCTCCACCAGCCCAGCACCCTTTACCCTGTGCCTTTCTCCTGTGGTTGGAGCCATCCTAAGTATCTGGACTAGGAGGCACCGCTTTCCCTTACCCAGCCCTAGGATCAGACACTGCTCCAAAGAGACAAATGCTTTTAGCCAAGCACAGTGACACATGCCTGTGTTCTAGCACTCGGGAGGCAAAGGCAGAGAGGCGGGAGGATTGCCATAATTTTAGAGGCCAGCTTAAGCGATACAATACAGTGCTTCTCAACCTGTGGGTTTCGACCCCTTTCATTATGATTCATAACAGTAACAAAATCATACTGATGAAGTAGCAATGAAAATAATTTTGTGGTTGAGAGTCATCACAACCTAAGGAAACTCTATTAAAGGGTCCCAGCATTAGAAGGTTGGGGCCCACTAGCAGAATGTGCTCTAGGCTAGCCAGGGCTACATAGTGAAACTTTGTATAGCAGAAAGCAACCTGTAACTCTACTTTATTTGGGGTATTTAGGCCTCTGTCTCCCTTCCACCAACCCCTAAACCTTAACTAGGAGAGAGGAAAAGTTAGTGGGGGGAGGGGCCCAGACCCCTTTACTTTTTTCAGCTAGTTAGGGTCAAGGGGTCCTTTTAGGGCTCTATACCAATCTCCATTAACTGCAGACTCAAGTAGCATGGCTACTTGGGCATGCTGCTGTGCCGGAAGTGTTTCTTTCCCTCCTCCTCTCTGCTCCAAACTGCAACACTGTCTCTCCAAACTGTTACACACTCCACTCCACACACCAATACCAAACAGCACACCAAACCCCACACGATCTCTTTCTACGACTCATATTTATACTCTGAGTCCTAGACCACACCCCTCTCTGTGCTGCACCGGGAAGGGCCATTACCAGCTGACAAAAGCCACGCTCTGCACCAGACAATTAACGGGTGTGGAGAAACTATAGCCCAATTAAAATCCCACACTTGGGACTAAAACAAAATATATTTACATAACATGCAAAGAAACCAAAATTTCCATTACAACTTTGTCTCAAAAGGACCAAGAAACCAAAACAAAAAGAAGTGTTTAAAACAAGCTAATAATACAAATATGTTGTGCCCCATTTGAGAAGCTAATTTAAAAAAAAAAAAAAGTTAATTGTTCAGTTACCCTTAAAAACAGGGGCTAGAGAGAAGGCTTAGCAGTTAAGCACTGGCTGTTCCTCCATAGGACGGGGATCACAGCAACCTGTAACACCAGTTCCAAGGGATCCAGCGCCCTCTACTGGCCTCCTTGAATACTTCATGCATGTGGTGCACAGACATCCATGCATGCAAAACAGTCAAGCAACAAAAAAATCTTAATATTTTTTCCTTTTAATTAAAATATACACCAGGTCCAGCAAGATGGCTCAGCAGGTAAATGAAGTTGATGTGCAAGCCTGACAGCTTAAATTCCAACCTTGAATCCCACATAAAGACTCAAAACACAGGGGGGCCCTCACACTGTTTGCAGGAGGCAGGGCCACTCCATAGCCACTCAGCTAAGGCATGAAGGTCACTGTTCAGCCCCCTAGAGAAGGCCCAGCCCTTTGTCATCCCCAGACTAAGCTGGGATCATTTCTGGGACCTTTCCCTTTATAGCCTTCCCAGCTTAGTCCTAAAGAGTGGCAGTCTGGAAGTTTCTAGACCTTCTCCGGGTGACAAAGAACAGGAAAGCTCTAGAAAGAAAGAGGCAAAGCCTAGCCTCCAAGACAGGCTCCATGCAACAGGCAGAGTGGGGTGTGGGCTTGGGATCATCAGATTCACAAGGCTTCATGGGAAATGGGCCAGAGCTTGCAAAACCCCGCTGTAAACGGAACACACTGGGGCAGCCAGGGCTTTCTGCAGAAGAGGGTGTCTCAGGAAGGAGTCATCATCACAAACCGGAAGAGAGGGAGACTGTGGCTTACCCAGAGCTGCATGACTCATCGCCAGCCCTGCCAGCTGCCTCTGTGAAGTGCCGGGCAGCACAGGGCCTGGGAACACTGCTGGAATCCCTGTCTAGTCCCCTCCCCAGAAGAGGCCCCAGGCCGGCGGAGCAGTTCTTGGCTCAGAAATGTCACTTAGTAGTATCACCATCTAAAAGGCGGTTGCCAAAGAACGATGCTCACTGACCCAGAGCACAGATGCAGGAAGGGGTTCAGGAGGTGGGGAGACGGTGTGCTGAGTTCAGCAGGAGTGGCCATGAGCATGCCACGTGCCCAGCACCAGTCGTGAGCTGGCACTCAGCAAGGAAGCTTTAGGTTCCCTTTACGTTCAGCCCTCCAGCATAAACAAATACAACCAGGTACCAATCAAGCACATGCCTATGTGTCTTGATGACATTCAGTAAGCCTCAAGGAACAACCTCAGGACCAACCAGCCGTGTGTACTTCCTCCTTCCGGCAGCCTCTCGAAGCCTCCACAAGCAGGCATCCGAGGGAGGTAGATGGATGGAGTAGGGAAGGCTGCAGAATTTCCAGCCCCACCAACTCCAGGCCTGAACTTGACCCTTCCCAGCCTCCGAGTGACATTTTCCTAACACTCCAATTATACGAGGACAAGCCGTGGTGGTGTCAGTAATCCCAGCACCAAGGAAACAAAGACAGGAGGATCTACACAGCAAGACACTGCCAACAGATAGATATGCAAGCAAGAAAAGAAAGAAAGCTGGCATGGCGGGGCACGCCTTTAATCCCAGCGTTTGGGAAGCAGAGGCAGGTGCATCTCTGTGGGCTTGAGATCAGACAGGTTTACATAATGAATTCCTAGTGAGCTAAAGCTATATAATGAGACCTTGTTTTTTTTTTTTTTTTTTTTTTTTTTTTTTTTTTTTTTTTTTTT